CCGTTGTTTTGATTTGTACATATACATATATATATATATATATATGTATATGTTTTGTAATGTATATATGTATATATTGTACAGAGATGGGCAGTAACGCGTTATAATCTGATTACTTTTTTCAAGTAACGAGTAAAGTAAGGGATTACTATTGCAAAAACGGTAATTAGATTACCGTTACTTTCCCGTAGGAACGCTGCGTTACTGCGTTACTAAAACCGTGATTTTTTGCGAGAATGTCTCACGACAGTGACGTAAGCGAGTGCGCGTTAGTGACAACAGCTGTGTGCAGATCAACAATGGATCACATATCGATTGTGGGAGAGAGTATGAGCGTGCAGCGTTTAAAGCGTGGAAGTACTGACCTTACTTTGAGTTTGATTCCATAAAAAGTGACAAAAACATTAGCGTCCATCGTGCGTGGGAAGAAAACTTCTTTTTACAGCGAAAAAAACCCCTAAACTTCCAAGCAAGCACCGAGTGCGCAACGACGTAATGGGAAATTCACAGAGAAACTCGCGGATTCTTCAACTGACCGCGGCACACCTGCACCAGGGTAAACCTCCGCCTACCGCAGTCCTGCTTTACAGGTGAAAATAGAGCAACAGGACCGCTGAGTCTTTGACTTTATTTATTTTCTGCTGTGTTTTACTTGCATCTATTTGAAAGAGCTGAGTGTAAACACAAAAAATATTTTATTTTATGTGCTGGAATGTGCAGAAAATAGGTTTAAATGTTAAACTAATTTATTCAAGTCAGAGAATGTTGCATATAATTAAATTTTTGCTTGATGCATAAAGTTAAAAGATTAAAACTAATAAAACAAGTTAAAAAAGAGACTTTTCCATTTGATTACATTTTGTATGATGGATTATGTAGAAAAAGTAGAATTGGGCTGAAAGATCTATCGCTTTATCACCTCTTCAGGTTGTAAATCGTGTTTTTATAAAATTATAATAAGTATATACTAAATAATATAATTATATTAATTATAATCTTTTACCATCTGATTATTATATATATATATATATATATGTAGATAGATAGATAGATAGATAGATAGATAGATAATGATAATAATAATTAAGAAATTAATTAAGTCAACAAGGAGAATAATACTTGGTTTAGATCATTTGAAAAAGTTCAACACTTTTTCTTTCTTGCAGACAGTAACAGTAAGTAGAAAACACATGTGCCCGTCAGGTATAACTGCTGTAAATGCAAATTTACAACACTGCAGATGTTCTGTATGAGCATGAAAAGACATGAAACTGATCTCAATGATAGTTCAGTTAAAGGTAATAGCAAAGGCTGGCTCATAGCCAAAGACCCCATTAGAAGGAGCCCAGGGAAGGCAGGTATATATGCTTCACCCGCTCGCCTCTCTAATCTCAGCTGTGAGCCATATCCTCCTGCAACATTTATCTCCTACTGCAAACACAATAACCTGTGACATGTCATGCTCTTGTGCAGACACAACACATTTTGGGCCCCAGTGATTTCTGTTTTTGTGAGGCAAAATTTTCATTGGATACTACAGCAAGTCACAAAATGTATTCTAGGCAGTATCATCACATTTCTCGATCACGCTCTTTGTCAGTTTTCCTTCTTTAGTTGTAGAGCCTACTTAAAAACAGATGTCAGTTCTCTTAGATCATTCATTATTTATCCTCTTGAGGATTAGTTTCTTATGTGTGTCAAAAATTATAAATCTGAGTTATTTACTGGGATGTTTTGCTGGACATTTATCTTCTGCTGCCTACTCCCCCGCACTGATGTGCAGCCACAACAGGGGACTGCTGCTGCTTATACTTCCCATAGGGCAGAATCAACAAATCAGCTTCTTTAGATTAACAATGACAACTCCTTATTTGAGCGAGGTATCCTTTGGTTTCAGAGCAGTGAACATGACTGGTGTGAATTCGCATGTCTAAGCCTGTTAGGAGTGAGGCCTTTTACTGGCCAGCTTGCACGTCTTTTTGCTTCGGCTACAGTCCTTTACAGTTTGCGGGTCTCTTCATTGGCCCAAAAATGTGTGCAGAAATTTGATTTACAGTGCAAGCAGCAGCTTTCTTTTCAAACCAAGGGATCATTTAACACTGCAAGTGCCAGCTCTAAAATATGACCTATAAGAAATCTTTGCTGAAAGCTGATATAAGCACTCATTTACAGCCTTAGCCTGGCTAACGATGGCCCTTAATGAGCAGCTCAGGCATCTACTTGTTTATTAGGGCAGACTGACTGACAGGTCAACTGATGGAAAAATAAAGTACTGAATGAGGAATTGGATCTGTCCCCTCTTTGCCACATCAGCGGGGCCCTAATGTAGTGGGGTGAACTTTGAAGTGCCCTAATGGTCTTCATGGTCCTTTAACCATGCAGGCTTCTATTAGGGGTGTCAGTGGAGCCTGGCTGGAGCAGCGTGACCTATTAGGTTTAACGAGTGCTGCTAAGGGCACAGTAGGCTGCTCTTCTTCCTCTCTGTAAGTGTTTATTTATCTCGTCTAGCTGTGTTTTGAACTGAAGCAAAGTGCAAAGGCAGCGGCAATGTCTCTTACGCTCACAGTCCATTTTATTCTGTGGGTCTTTCTCTTTTTAATAGGGCTGTGTGATTAATGGTCAGTTAACAAGGATGAATTATGTTGTATTTTCCATATTCTTGCAGTGGAAAAACACTGAAATTGTTCTGTTTACCTCTGATCTACAGACTTACTTTGTTTAAAAAGTATTAAAACATCAGAATCACACAACTACCAAGTTAATTGGAGAAAGTTTGTGATTGGCTTTAAGATTTACTTTAGAGCTGGGTGTCAAAGACAAGATAAGAAGGTAAAAAGGTACTGAAAAGCATGGTAACACTAGAGTTTGCTGTCCTTTTGTGTAGTGCTATTGTAAGAACACTATGAGGCTTCCTAATGCTGTTTGTAGTTTGATCAGGTTGTCTTCTAATCTTAGGGTCCATCCCAGGCATTTCCAACTTGACCAAGTGACTTTGGAAAACACCGGATGGCAGGCCAGAGGCTTGGATGGCAGCTCTGCCACCAATAGTGTGTGAGTGAATGGGTGAATGAGAAGCACATTGTAAAGCACTTTGTAGAACTGCTAAGGTTAAGAGGTGCCTCATAAGTGCAGACCATTTAGAATTTTAAAGAGCACTTTCTAGTCTAAGTAAACTTTACTTATTACGTTGTTCTGAAAAATCTGTATGCTTTGTCTGAAATGTGCAAGCCTGCAATGAAGCGGTTTTTCTCGTATTCACGATTGCCAGTTCCTCTGCTAGACATGGAAGCTTTATTGGGTGACAGCAGGCGTCTCATGAGTTCTGCCATTGTAACGTGATCGAAGTGCTCCAGTAAACTGTTGCGGCGCAGTGGAAAAGTTAGCATTTGTTTCTGGGAGCAAACAGAAATGGATGTGCCTCAGTGCAATGTTTTTTTTCTTCTTTTTTTCCAGGCCAAAGACCAAAGCAGTGGCATGATGTGAATTGCCACAGGTTTTCTATAATTGTTTTTATTCTTTTTTTCCTGGCCATGCTTTCTCTTCCTCTTACATGAGAGTTGTTCTAAGTGGTTGCTCCTTCTCTGAAGGATTTTCAGAACAAAGGGTAATAACGGGGGGATTGATTACACACAGAGATTTTGCAGTGTAGGAAAGATATTTTGGAGCATTTATAAGAAAAGATTTCCTGAACACTGTCTTGTCTCATGACTTGTAAAGCAAAAACAAAGAACATCTGTGTGAAAAGAGGTTCTATATTTTCTTACATCTCAGTTTATTCTAGCTCTGGCTACAGCTAGATTGACCACCTGTAGGTATTTAAAGCACATTCAAACTATTAGGCTTAACTTTCAGTCTAATGGCTTAGGCAGAGCATCCCATCTGGACGCTGTTGATGCGAGAAAAAGGATGGAATCGGATATCAACCCCAAGAACACAGAAAGACAGAAAGACACACATCCACACTCGCACACACACATCACTAAAAATGTTAATTATTTCATTTTTAGAGGCACCTATTGTATTTTTCTATTTATGTTAATAAATGCGTGTAATTTTATGTTCAGTTCAGTTACATTTTTTTCTTGTATCACCATAAGAGATATTTATGTTGCAAGATAGAGAAACGACCCTACAATTTTAGTGAGAGATCCACAACAATTACATGATCCCATGTGAACAACAATTTACTAATAGCGGGGAGGAAGAACTCCCTTTTAACAGGAAGAGACCTCCGGCAGAACCCTGCTCAGGGAGGAGCAGCTATGTGTCGTGACTCGTTTGGGAATGAGGAGAAAGAGAAGAGATACAGAAGACAGAATGTTTATGCATTCAAATGGAAATATGTTGATGTTTTTGAGATTTGAGGTAACGATTATGAGGTCTGATCATCCAGAACTTTTTATGTAAGGAGACACATTTTAAACGGATTCTGAATTTAACAAGAAACCAACAAAGAGAATTTCTCTCTGTATGGAAGAAATATGATCTACTATTAACTAGCTGACCATAGATAAACAGTTAAACAATAGGTTCTACTGTCAGTGCTTTTTTTGCATATACTGTATGAAAAGTTCGTAGGTCACTGTTGTGATCATGCAGTACACTGCTGAGTATTTTTAGAGTCTGAAAATGTTACTTTTCTCTTTATTGTGCTACTGCTGAAAACATAAAACATTGCACAACATTATTTCTTATTGTTTATTCAAGAAATGTTTTCAGCTGCTCCCAAATTCACAAGGGACAAAAACACCAAGTAGCTCCAAAAGTTATAACTATAGAGCCACTACTTTTGGTTTTTCAATGTGTCGGTTTAATAATTGTTTACAAGTCGCTGTCCATCTATCCGTTAAATACAATCCTACAGCCAGCATTCACTCACCCAAAGAAACAGCCCAAATAAACCAAACTCCTTCTCTTTCAGAAAATGATTGTGGTGGACATGAGTTAAATTTCTTAACCTTTCAAAGAAAGAAAAACAAAACTATTTGCACTCATTCTGCCACTGGAGATCAATTTATTTCAAAATCATTTACCATCATTAACAAACACAGCGAGTTACTTCTGTACAAAAATACAGCACATGAGCAGCGCTAAATATGGACGGGCTTCGTTTTTTTTCTCTTTTTTTAGTTTTTCTTAGTTTCTCCTGGGACAAAACCAAAACCACGTAGTCTCTGGCTTTATTAAAGGAAGCGTCCCAGTGGAATAGGCAAAAATAATGATTAAAAAAAAACTCGGACAATCTAAGTGCAATAACTTATTGCACTGGCACAATCATACATGGAAATATTTGATTAATATACAAAAAAACGCTTAAAGCCATAAAAAAAAATGTGAACAAGTTTTCAGCCTTTCTTCCATGGCTACTTTTCAAAATAACAAAGAACATAATTTTACATTTCTCGGCAATATTAAGGTAATACTTCATTGGCTTATCTCTTGTGGTCCATTATTTGACAAATAAGCAAAACAAATGTACAAGCAAATTAACAATATTATTTATATTGTTCATATTCACACAATATGACATTACAACCATGGATTTCAATTGCTTTATTTCAGTAGTATCAACACGGACGGAGCTGCAGAGGAGTGGAGCACTGAGGGAGTACCGGCAACGCAAGGTCAACTTGACAAAGTAAGGATTGAGCCACACATTTCTAATCTTAGAGGTCCTTGTCTTTTACTTTGCTGAGGTTTGAGTACCCTCTGCAGGGAATATATAAAGAGAATACAGACATCATCATCTGGTCCTCCTTAAATGGTCTTTCCTTGCACACACAAAGGTAAACGTTAACATTTTTGATGTTCTGAACGGAAAACATGGTTGTACATGCTAGTGCATGTGAGTCCCTCTCTTTGGGACGTCTTCATAAAGAGACCAGAATGACACTAAAAATGAAAAGACAATGTAGAGGCTGAGCAATCAGCATTTGTCCCAAGAAGCAAATAAGTATTTTATCCATCTTTTTCTGTGCAGTCACATCATTTCAGATTATCTGAATCCTGTTGTTTTGCTCTCTTTTGCTTGTGCTTGTTTCCATCGCACTGTACACACAGTGAGACAGAGAGCAGAGGAGTAGTAAATGGACAGTTCTTATGTAGCACATTTGCTTGTATCAGTCCTAGGCTTGTATTAAGCCTAGCTCAAGACTAAAAGAAAACATTGATAAGGATCCCCGCTGAAAAACGTTTTAGTCCAGGACTAGAATTATTCCAAGTCCAGGAAACTAAACCTTGAAGATTAAGACCAGTAAGCAACCACTAAGAGGACAGAGCCATGCAAGGTGTGGGCCTGTCACTGAGATTAAACTGGGTTTGCTGTCTTGCCCAGAGAGGAGAATCAAACTGCTAACCCTCCACGTCATTGTCAAATTATTCTACCACCTCAGCCGCAGCAGAACGGAAAAGGAGAAAGGCAACACAAACTTTCATCACCACGGTGGGCTCATGATCAGCTGACTTAAAGCACATGGCTACCATGCAATAAGTTTCACAATGCAGCCGTCAGCCAATTATCATGACTGGATTTTGGTGTTTTTGGCTGTCATGTAAAATACCTTCCTAACTGTAACTGAAATATGAAATGAGGGAGGTGAGCAGTGGCCAGCGGGCCCTTTTGTTTTGGTTTGAGATGCTGACGCAACATTTAGTAGTTGAATAGACAAGTATCACCATTAAAAGAGGGGTTTTTTTATATTGCTGAAATCTCAGATGTGACTGCAGCAGTGGGTCACAGTAACTCAACCACTATAATCATATACACTTGATCAATGAAGTCATTTGTCAAGCAAAAGCACCAAACAAACTGTTGAATTGATGTTTAACTTTATCTTATGTTACCATAAACTGAATATCTTTGGGTTTTGGGCAGCGAGACATTTTAAGACGTCACACTGGGTTTCTTGCCATCATCCACGCAGGAGAAAAGAAAACCGATATGTAGCCCAGCATGCGTCATAGAGAGATCAGCCAAAAAGCTAATGAAGCCTGTCTCTAGCCTCGGCCTGGAGCCCAGCTCTGGTGACAAGCTTATTCCGGCGGGGTAACACACACACAGATACCCCTACAATCACTGGACATGCTCACCACATTCCTGTAGTCCAGCTCTAATGTCATCACATTGACCAAACATTACCGAATGCTCTTCGGGACGATTAGGCCCACTGATTTGGCCTGCAGTCTCTGGCATGTATAAGATTCTGTTACCAAGCTATGAATCGAACCTTCATCCCTGCTGAACCCGCGTCTAGCGATGAAGCGATCACTTCTGTGTGTGTGCAGTATGTCCTCACCATGTAGACTGTGATGTACTGCAGCTTTCACAGGGCAGAAAGGCTCACTTTGATGCTAATTAACTGTGTCTATTCCTGCTGGTTGCTGATTAGAGCTGGCGTGGTAAGCTGGTGTTGAAGGTTGCTGCTGTGCATTCCTGTGCCAATGGAGACACCATTTCCTGTAACCTGAAGCCTGAGCCTATTAGTTGAACCTGTGGAGGGAACCCTGGGAGGGAAATGACAACTTCATTTGAAATTGCTGCCAATCCAAGCCCTGCCCTCCACCCAGACTCAATTGGCAGGCCATGTCTGCTCTCACTCAGTTAGACTCTGTTCACTTACTCTGCCCTTCTCTGCAGGGAAATAAACTCCCAACAACATACTAGTGAAATGTACAGAAATGAACTGGTTTATGCAGTGGAACAGAATGGTGTGTGGTGGGATGGTCGGTATAAAAGATAGGATAAAGAAGGCAAATCATGTGAATCAAGATCTGGTCTTTAAATGACGATACCGTACTTGGCATTATAGACTATAAGGCTATGAGGACATTAATAAAACCAGGTTTGGGTTTGCTGAATTTTACTGAAAACAGCGTCATGTTAAACGGTTTATTGGGGTGTAAACACCATAGTTGCATGAGACCTGAGAGATCAAGGAATCAAGAATGAATATCTAGGTGATATTCTCATCTAAGTCACACCTCTGCTTGTCTCTCACTTTCAGCATCTGCTGATTATCATAGACACAGTTGTCTTGGTTGCATCGGCAGCTGCGGTGGCCTCTGTTATCTCCACAGTCTCTCCCTGTTCATTTGACCTGTGTTATCATTAGTGCTCGCCTCCTCCCCCCATAGTGCTTGCTGACGGCTGCTCCAGGGCAGGGGCCTTATGGGGGCAGGTTGGGATCGGGCTGGAACATCATGTAGCCCAGGAGATGGCTGCACTGTGTTCCTTGGCCTTCATACGCAGCGCAGCTATGCTGGAGGACTTTCGATCTGGATCAACATTGAGATCATAGCCATTGATTCCCCCACCGATCCCAGCGCCCCCAAACAGACTGCCCATATGAGTCTGTCCCATGTGGCTGCTTCCTGGACTTGGTACGCCCAGGAAGTCAGAGACGCCTCCAGGACCGTGAGGGTGAGGGGGCATGCAGGAGGGCATAGAGTCACAAGGCACGACACAACCGGGCACCGGAGATGCCCCGCTGCTGCTCCCTATCCATGAAGGGTTCTGGATCTGGAGAAGAAAAGGAGGAGATATTTTCATAATAACTGTTGTTTCAAATGAACACATGAAAAATATTAGTCCCGCCATAGTAATCAGAATCAGAATCAGAATACTTTATTCATCCCGAGGGAATAGTCACCTGCACAGAATTATTTTTGATTTGATTTGATTTTTTTGCCACATCAGCTGCTGTTAATAGTAGAAGCCCTCAAATTTAACACTTAGACTGAAGAAACGTTAAGAGAGAGCAAATTTCACACTTCCTAACTGCAATTCTGATATCTGCCATCAGGTGTATCTGTAATGTGCACACCACTGAGGACTGAACATTTACCTGTGCATAGTTCTCAGGTCGCGTGAGCAACGGCAGCTCATAAGCTGTGGAGAAGTGCGTGCGGACCTGTTGCATCTGGCCAAAACGCTCTCTCTTCCTCCACTTGGCTCTGCGGTTCTGGAACCACACCTGCAAAGAAAACAGACTATCAGGAAAATGCCTCTAACCAAATAGAGACCAAACACTATCAAACAGAAATGTGAATATCCTTCTTAAACGAGGCCATTAAAGCTCCTAAAAAGTACACAGAGTGCTTTAGTTGTTCCCACAGAAAACTGGGCCATCTTCTTGCTAAGAAAGACAAAGTAAAAGACCACATAAAATGAGGACAGTGAAGCAAATAAATTCTCCCGCACATGAAAGTCCGAGACCCGATTTTAAGACTTGACGTGTCTTTAAAGTGCCGTCCACACTGAGCTATTGATGTGAAAATGGTGAGTCTCCCCTGGTGCTGCATGTTTCAGCTCCTCCCTTTGATACACAGACGTCTGCCTCCCTTCAGGCTGCCCGCGTCGACAGATCCACATCTGGGCCTGTAGCCGTGCATAAATCACTCTGAGAAAGGTGTGCTCTCTCCCACATGTCAGCACAGTGGGATCCAGTGGGGAATCCTCTGTATAATCCATGGAACAAATGTTGAACTTTTGACCAGGACATATATACTGTATATATGAGCATAGAGTATATGTATGTGTGTATATTCATCTTTAGCTTTACTGAGCATTGTTTGTAGCACATGAAATGACTACTGCTCTTCAGATTTGTAGACTTGCTACTTCTCAGAGGGTTGAGCTTTCGGGAACCTGCTGACAGACCAAGTGCAGGCTGCTTAGTCCACTTCTCCATGACTGCAAAGTAGAAGATGGCTATGAAGGCTGAAGCCTAAAAGAACTCCCCAAGAACATTTCCCCCCTAAAATCTTAGTGTTAATTGATGTGATGCCTAATACACTGTAGAAATTCATGATGTTCTACATACTGGAAGACAAATCTCATCACTTATGCTCTTCCAAAGGTTTCTTCCTTATCTAGGGTTACACGATATTGATGAGTGTGGATAAAAATAAGGAAAAATAGATACTAGATATTGATTACACACATAAAACTACCTGGTAAAATAATTAATGTTTTAATAAATGAAGAATTCATTTGTTCTAATAACAAACAATGAAAATAATATTCAGTTGCAAACTTAGTACTATTCTGTTTTATGTAGCCCAGTTGTGTGTCCTATTGTTTTGGGAACTAAAATGAAAAGAAGATGATTAGCAAATAAAACAGTACTTTGCAAAAGTACTGTTTTATTTGGCATAGGCATGAACACATTTATTCTTCAACACAACCTGAACTCTCTCAGGCAAACTTGCGTGTAGTTTCTTTAAGCGGTCTGTGGGAATAGTTCTTCAGGCTTCTTGAAGGACATTTAAAGGTCTTTTTTGGGTGTTAGCGGTCCTTTGTTCTATTCTCTGTGAAGATTTTGAGGTCTGGGCTCTGGGGAAGCCATTACATAAGCAGTAGTGTTCTACAGTGTATTTTTTTTCTATCCAGGTATACTTTTACTGCATTGTCAGTATGTTTGTGATCATTGTGATGTTGAAGCTGCTGCCAATGAGATGCTTTCCAGACGATATTGCATCAAAATCTCACTGGGTCCTTGACACCATGGGCTGAAATGCAGCTCCAAGCCATGACAGAGCCTCCATTGTATTGTACAGGAGGCTGTAGACGCTCACTGCAGTACCTCTCTCTTCACTTTCTCCGTACATATCGACAACCAGAAATATAAAATCTACCTTCATCACTCCAGAAGAGCTGTTGTCACTGATTTTCAGTCCAGTTCTTGTGTAATGTGGCATACCTCTGCCTTTTCTCCCTGTTTCTCTACCTTCAGAATGACTTCTTGACAGCCACCCCTCCACTCAGGCAATTTCTGATGTGGTTCCAGTAAAACAGTAGATGGACGGATCTCACATGTCCTGTGTCAGGTATTTGCTGGATTTCCCCCCCTATTTTTTAAGGACCTGACCTTTTGATAGACTTGCCACTTCTTCTGCCATGGTGTGTTATCTTTGGCATTTTTTGTAGATTCAATAAAATAAATATGAACAAATGATGCGCTTTTGTAACAGTTGGCTAGTAAAAAAGTGCCTAAGATACAATTTAAAAGTGATTCTTTACTAAGATGCGTTTTACATACAACACTGGTTCCCTTGAGTTCCCTTGAGTCCCCATCCCTTGAGTTAGATGCTTTTTTTTATATTTGAGTGATGCATAAGTCACTGTTAGCTGGGTTAACAAACAAGAAAAAACATTCATCTAAAAATGGTCAGTTAGAAAGATTGGACTGAAAATGAGAGAGAAAAAAGAGCCAATGTCCAAACAAAACCTTAGACCATTTTAAAAACTTCTGAGAAAGTCTGGCGCCTTGGAAGCAAAATATAAGGAAATAAAGGGTAGTCCAAGACTTTTATACAGTACTGTATGTTTCAAAATAGTCAACAGATACAGATTAAACCATACAGATTATCACAGCAACTGCATCTTTCGTTAAACTTTTTTTCTGTAGAATTTTCTCACATCTCCTTGCAATAGAAAAAGCAGAGGGGGTTACTGGGAGTCTCCACATGTTTATCTGTATCTATTTGTTGGTTGTTTGAATCTTATCCTCCCTGGAGAGAAGGGGGAAACTTCTTCAAAGAGAAAAGAGAGGGCAGCCTCGGTTTGACACAGGGGTTAGGACTTGGATTGTTGGGCTGATTCCCAGCCCAATCAGCTTGTGGTTTTCACAGTCCCTGACATGCAATTTCCCTTCAGTCATCCCCTTCAAATCCGCACTCTTGTCTCTGGCCATTTCTCTCAGTCAACAATAAAGTTTGGTGGCAGAATTGAGCACTGTCGTACAAATGCATATTTGCAAAATGCTGATTTTCTTATAGTAAAGAGTTGACTTTAAACATATGAGATAAGACCACCTGTAAGCACCCTAACCTGCAAACTCATCGTCTCATTTTTTTAGATGCATTGACCTCCTAGCAAAGTCAAAGTGAATAACATATCCACATGTCTGTATTTTTGCAAGAAACTGACGTAAAGAAGTCTCGTCTGACTCCGACATTCTTTGGGTCAGCTGGTGAGATTAGAGAACAGCTCACCCTTACTGAGTGGTAAGCTGATATGTGAGGTTGTGACTGAACCCCAATGTCAAGGTGAGGGGTTGGAGCCCTTTGAATTATATCATATGTTTGGAAGTAGGTTTGTGGGTCTATTTTATACTCCTCCTGAGGATTTGGGATCTATTATTGTTTAAGATTTGTCATGCCTTTCCTTTGGTGGCTCTTTGGTTGCACAAGCTCATAATATCACAAGTTTCCAAATATAAGCCCCAACATGAAAACAGCAACATTAAGTTTCATTACAGCCTCAGTTCTACAAAGATATGTTACTAATGTGATTAATGTATTACCAGCTCAAGGACTCAATTTTCCTCCAGATATATGCAATTCTGGCAAAGTTTGAAAGATGGCGTATAAGTTTGTCCATTTACTAACTCGCCACAGGTAAACCACAAGGTCTTTATGATGTCCACGGTACCCTCATTTAGTTTTATAGTAAATGTAACAGTCTATTGATACAACAGTGATTGGTACAAGCCAGGTACATTGTAAACAGTTAATCACAATGTAAACTTACTTATATTCTAAAGCCATTTCAGACTCTTCAAGAATTTTTCAGTGCCCTGCACGAAAAATACATTTTTCTTTCTCAGCAAACCTACGTTTTTAATTTTAATTGTGATTTTGACAAATAGAGATGCCTCATTCAGTTTTCATACTGTGCTGGCACCACATGATATGTAGCTAGACTTCCTGGATTTTTATAATATTTAGATACATGCAGGACAAGAGCATCTGCTGGATCAACCATCAGAGTCGTACTGCCCTTCCCTCCGTCTTTGTAAACTAGCCTTAATTTTCGGTTACCTGTATTATGAAAATAGTCACATTTCATTTAAATATTTATAAAACTCTTTGAAGAAATGTTGTCAGAATAGCAACAGAGCCTGATGAATGACCTTCTTGATTCTGGTCTTAGATTGTTATCAAAAATATTTTAAAAAATCGCATATTTCAAAGCTCTGCTGTCAGTCACCCAGCGCCGTTATTGTACTCCCACTCCTGTGTTGAAGCTCAGGCTCTTCTGTCCCTCGCCACCCCGCCCCCAACTCCGACCCCTCTCTCCATGTCTCTCTCCTCCCTCCGTTTTAAGTCAGTGAGGGGAAGTGGGGATATTGGAAAGTGAGATGGGAGAATGTTCAAACTGGAGCTTGTTTTCATTTCATGTTTAATTTCCTGATGCCTAAGCCCTCGGCTTTCCGCAGCTAACCCCTCTGACCTTTGAGAGGCGTGCAGACAAGAGCAGTGGACCAGGCGTGCACACACATACACACAGAATCACACACATTTGCATACCATGTTATATTCACATTTCAAAGTTGCTCTCCAAAAAATGCAGTATTTTAACCTGGACCCTCTCAAGCACTTACTGGAAGCTTTTTCATAAACAGTTTCTGAGCACATATATTTCCCTTGTCTTGGTTTCTGAGTGTGTAATGTTTCACAGAGAGTTTGCTCTACGTAGCTTTTCCTTTGAACGGCAGTAGGAACAAGAACCCTGCCAAATAGTTTGGCAGAGAGATAATTCGGGAACATTGTGGAGTCAGATGTGTCCCTTGCTGCTCCATCTCTCATAGTCCCTGACTTATAAATTCATGCAGTTCTTGAGAAAGTGAAGGTCACTGCTGTCTTTGTGCAAGCAGTTTTCCAATTAACATAAATTGTCTTAATTGTTTGTCATGATGAACACCAGTGGTTAATAATATATAAAACCCAAAATGATGCTATTTACCAACTACACACACTCACGACTCCTGTTTATTTTATTTTAGCAGACATCTGCAAGGAAGGTGGCTCAGTGGTCTTGGAGCTCAAATAGCTTGGCGGTGATACAGTAATTGCTAAAGACGCTGACAGCGAAATGCAGCTTACAGAGCCATTAAAGAGCTTTATTTATGCTCCAGAGCCAGCAGGCAGAGAGAAAGGAAGAGGGAGAAAGGGAGGGCAGAGTCCACAACTCCAAAAGCAGCTTTGAAGTCCAGCCGTCTCACCTCATCTCTGTCATCTAGGACCACTGCAATTGATAGACTGCCTCAGCAGTCAATCACGTGCAGCCTCCTCCTCCTCAATAAAAAGTAGGCCGTATGGTGAAGTTCAAGTCACGAGGCTCTGAGCTAATTGCTTCTAAAGAAAGTAATGGCACCAGAAGTCACAGATTGTGTTATTGGAAAGCTGCAGCCTGATTTTATGAAGACATTCAACATCAAAACTGAGGATGAAACCGTAGGACCTTGACACTAGCAATTTGGCAGAAAACATCTGTATTCTGGATTTCAATTGCTGTTGTTTTGCAGATGAAAAGGATTCTCGATAGCTTTCCGAGCATCGAGTGCCCCTTGGTATTCAACAATTGGATATCCCTGGACTTTGTCTCAATGTACCTTCAGTTGAAATTGTGGGGTTTAGTCTTGATTGCGTGCATATTTAGGGTTTGATTTTAGAAGTATGGGTCAAACCTCACAGTGACTCAACAGAGTCTGCAGTGTGCCTGTCAGATGAAGACGTTAATTATATTCATCTGGGGCATAGATGGGTCTGTGTGAATGCAACATGAATGTACTTATTTTACTGTACCACCACAAGGACCAGGCCCGGTTCTCTGTCCCTGACTATGTCTCGGACTATGTGTGGAAATTGAAACTGGCATCTCAAAGTGTTTTTTATATCCATGCCAAAATAGCTTTGATGGTGTTCCATGTGTTTTCCCTCGTTGCCTCCAGAGCTGTGCAGTGAAGTAGTTTAAACATGGCGGTGTGGGGAGAAACCCTTGGCCTCTGACCCTTTCCAGAGTCTACACCGTGTAAGTGCTAAGAGCAGCGTATTCCCTAAGTCTCCTCCATCCCACTCTGATCTAAAACTGGCAGGCACAAAGACAGATGGAGAACAATAGGCTTTGCTGTCTAATGCTAGGAACAGTCTTTGTAACCCTCAGCCTTCCCTGTCAGTTCCCCCAATGATTATCAGCGTGCAAACAACTGTACTCATGGAAACTGTCTTAACAAGACAGAAGGACACCATCAGCTGCTTCAGCAAGTGCACGGAAATGACATATGTTTGTATTAAAGTCTCAAAGTTCTCCAGTGGACAGACAGTTGTTAATTTCCCACTCACAATGCAACATTGTCTTTAACACGATCATGCTCATTCCTAAACCATATGTTTTATTACAGTGCCAATAGAATCAAAACACCTAATGTTTGTTTGTTTGTTTTTCCCTGAACCATGACTCTGAGTGTGTGTGTGTGTGTGTGTGTGTGTGTGGGGGGGGGGGTTATGCATGTGACCCAGTCTGTCTGACATCTCTATGCTGGTGTTGTTCTTACATCATCATAATTATGCTTGTCCACAAGTGCAACTGACCAATCACACTGTTGTGATGTTGCTTTGGACTGTCGAGGAAAATGAAAAGAAATGATTTTGTTCATATAAAAGTCTCTTCTGGGACAAGCATTACAACTGTTTTTATTAATTAATGTATACAATATAATAAATATATTATCAAGTTGCTAGTGATAGTTTTGGTCAGTTGCAATCTTGATCCTGGATCAACATTTTTGTGATTGATATAGGAACAACAACAACACGGGGATATGTCATAAAGTAGATTAATTGTGTATTATAGTAATTTGTTTCGATGACATAAATAAAATCTGGTGATATTTTGATTAGATGACAGAGATTCATTTTCTCTTATAAATAAAGGACTTCTTAGCTTATGTCAATGCAGAAAGGTGCTTTTCAAGCGTAACCCTCTGTTTTGACTTCATCCTCACCTGTACACGGGCCTCTGTCAGGTCTGTCCTGAGTGCCAGCTGCTCACGGGCATATACATCAGGGTAGTGTGTCTTCTGGAAAACCTTCTCCAGCTCCTCCAGCTGGTAGCTGGTGAACGTAGTGCGATTGCGCCTCTTCTTGCCTTTGTTGCTCTCGGCCTCGCTTTTTTCCAGTGGGCTAGAAAGGTCCGACCCCGGGCGTTCGCTCTGCCCCTTCACTCCAGTGTCCTTTAGGTTCAGGTAGCTGCTTTCCATCCCAGGAGGGTCGACGCTCTGGGGCAGCTCAGACTCTGTCAGGCTGCTGCTGTCCTTTCCTGTATTTTGGAGATAAGAAAAGTAAAGAAGAGGTCAAAACGTTTATTTTTAACAGTTTGTTCTTTTAAAGGGGTACCACACAAATTTTATACGTTCTTTTTTAGTTCAAAATGCTCTCAAGCACTAAATCGCTCAAGTACTCCTTCTGTGGCTTCCTGTTACTGCTCAAAACTTTAATGTGGAATTTAAAATGTGAAAATACAAGTGTTTAGGTGAAGCATTAAAAGATGAAGGTAATACTTTATAACTATACCCACAACTAAAGGTGTAATTCCCCTGTAAGTAAATGGAATCTCAGTGTATTTTTATTTAAACTACAGTGTCATTATATTTATATATACATACTAAAAGGTAGGTACCTTGCCTTTTAATTACAAGAGAAGGACAATTAAATAATACAAAATTATGAACCATGATGCTCACCATCATTAGGACTTTTAAATAACAATGTAGAAATATAAACATATAAAAAGACGAGATTAAGTAACTCCATAATGCAACCCAAAAAGTGCAACGTTTTAACGATATTTACGTAGTTCTTAAAATTACTCACACACGACTTAAATTTACTGACAGTATAATTATTTCTTTTTTCCTGTAAAAACCTAACTTGTTACCCCCTTTTTTTCTAGAGTACCAACCTTTAAGTATTTGTATGTAAATATAATTACCTTGTAAGTTTAAATGAAATGTGCTGAAATTCCATTTGATTAAATATCAATTACACCCTTGGTCGCTGTTCGTATTATAAGGTGTTAACAACTTAGAAAACATTCTCAAAACTGACTAAAGTGTGGCTTTACTGTGAAATCAATTCATTTGTGTAATAATAAACAGACAGTTATCTTTCTGACCATCTTACAGATGAATAAAAACCGCCATATGTTCTCAGTAATAGTCCCACGTTTACAGTTAGAACATTCATTAGAGCAACGTGTCTTTAAAATGTGGCTGAATGATCACATTCAAGCCACCAAGAGTGTCTGCTCATCGTCACATTACAGCATCCCCGCCAAATGACATTTACTTTAAGCACACATCATCTCTGTGATGTTTTATTTTAAGGTTCAAAGGCCTCGTCTGTGTGCAGCAGGAAAGAAAGTTTGAAAGATATGTCACGACGCATTGGTGTGACCTGCGACACAACCCTCGAGCCCTTCTCCCCTCACATCTCTCAATCACGCCACCTGAAATCCGAGCCACACAAAATCCTGTGCGTCTCGGGCCGTGTGTATGGCGGGCCTTGTGTATGGGGGCAACCACGCTTACCCCACGGCCTTCCCCCTGAGATGTAAACAACATTGTGTTTGTCACCTTCAATTTTCAGTGCATCCATTTTGTTACAGACCTTGCTCTGTTCCTGTCAGCACATGCTGGCTTTTTGTTTCCTTTTAAGAGATGAAGAAAGCTGTCCCTTCTCCTTCAATAAACAAACAGCCGTGTGAATAAATAAGCAGAAGGGCTCTGGTTGCAGGCCAGTGAGAACAGTGTGCTCGGTCAGCCTCTGTTTGCCTTTCCTGCAAATGGGCATGGAGAGTGCCCTGTCCTAACTGTATTGGTCTGAAACCAGCGCATAATGGTCTCCTCCATATAAACAGACTTGTGAGTGTTGTGCAACACCACCATTACTTTAATCCAACAGAATTTTTCTCAGAGTTAGGAAGTGCCAAATGATTGAAAGTTATGGGCTTGTATGCATGCATTTGCTTTTGTCACGTTGCATTTTTCTTCTGAGTAACGTCAGTAATCGCTGTGTGTCATTCTTAGAAAGTTACCTCACTGAAAGAGTTGACACCTTTTGACACACAGTGAGTCACAGAGTCTTGTTTTTTAGTGGTTAACAAGATGACTGAATAGTTTTAGGGTGATGAAGTTAGGCGGTGGTTGTCTGCAACAAGCATGTTTGTTTTCATGGATTAGTACACTTTGGGCTTGTGTGTCCCACAATGAGATGTCAATAGTCATCCCCTCAGAACTGCTGCAGCCCTTCCCTGCTTTCTGGCTCAGACCTACATGGGCTGAAACACTAATGGAACAACACAGCGTTGCCCAACTGGAGTTCATGTCCTCATACAGCAGTGGCCTACCTGTCAGATCTTTTTACAGTCTCCATGCAGGCAGATATTCTGACATCACCAACCCCTGAGCTGGCCTCATATCCTCGAGCTACGTACAGTCATTTTATTCTGCCTCTGGGCAGGAGCATGGCTCTAGTGTTAGTAAAGTAAGACAGGTCAACTCCAGGTTCCTGTCTGGCATTTGCATCTGTGAGAGAAAATCCAGTTATGCCCCTGAGCAAGGGGCACATATCCTGTGAGACTGCAGCTGCACACAGATGAGGAGATGGGAAAAGGGTAGGATGGAGTGTGGGAGGTACTCCAATTTGTCAGTGCAATTAAAAAAATGATTTAACATTTTGTTAAATACACATATTTCTTTTCTTATCCAGACATTGGATCCACTGATCATTGCCAATCCCATAACCGTAACTAAATGTGAGGCTACCGTGAGCAGCCTGCTAAAGGCATAAGGACTGGAAAGATGAGGTAAATTGCTTGCCTGTCACTAAAAAATTCCACCAAGAAGTAACATATATATAACATATAATCATGTAAAAGAGGAAAACTAAGTACACCCCATGATTCAGTAGCTTATAGAACCACCTTCACCTGCAATAACTTTAAATAATTATGTTCTGTATGACTTTACCAAATGTCTCACATCATTGTGAAGGAAGCTTAGCCCACTCTTCTTTATAAGGTTGCTTCATTTTACTGAGGTTTGCTGGCCTTGAGGTTTGTAGCAAGAACTTAAGGTCTCTTTGGTTTCTGGAGCATTTCAATTACGTTGAGGTCGGGCTTATACTGGGCCATTGTAACACCTTTATTCTTTTCTTTTTCACTCATTTTGCTTTAGATCTGCTGCTGTGCTTAGGATCATTGTCTGTTTGCATACCCCAGTTTTGCCCAACTTATAGCTTTTGGACAGATGGTCTCACATTTGACTCTAGAATACTTTTGTATACAAAGGAGTTCACTGGTCGACTCAGTGATCCTAGGTGCCCAGGTCCTGTAGCTGCCAAACAAGCCCAAATCATCAACCCCCCACCACCATGCTTGACAATTGGTATGAGGTGTTTGTGTGGATCTGCTGCATTTTCTTTTCACCAAACGTGGCACTGTGCATTATAGCCAGACATCTCCACTTTGGCCTCCTCTGCTTAAAGGTCACTAAGTTCTCGTGGTTTGTTTAGATACAACTGTGCAAACCTAAGCCGTACTGCCATTTTTTTTCTTTTTCTTTTAGAGAGAAGAGTAACTTTCCAAACAAGCCATACTTGTTCTGTCTTTTTCTAATTGTACTGCCTTGAACTTTAACATCTAACATGCTAAGTGAGGACTGTAGAGTTTGAAATGTCGCTCTTGTCTCTGACCTTGGAGTGGATTTTCTGGGACAGTAATGATAACATTGTGTTAACACACATCTGAATGCTCCAAACCAGCAAAGTGCTAAAACTTCTACTTTTAGAGAGGTGCTCACATTTGCTAATGATCAATTATTCAAATACATTTGATTAGCAGTGCCTGGCTCCTACTTACCCTCTTAAGTCCCATGGAAGCAGTAAGGGTGAACTTAATTTGTCACAGGACTGTGTCTGGTAAAAACTTTGTCATTTTCAGTTCTTTGTGCATAGATCCAAAAAACATGGCCGTTAACAGAAACATTGTAGGGTATGACAATCAAAGAATCCTGAATAGAAATATATAGGGGAATTTGCCAAATATACTACCAAAGAGGGGCTTTGTCCTGCCCTTGCATCCAAAGAGCCATCCTGAGCTACGTGCTTTATATCAGCTGAACCCAGAAACATATAATTCAATCCAGTTTTATTGCACTGATGCACACACACATTTAACTTTCATGACCCTTTCAGTTGTGTGGTGGCATGCTGTGTCTCATATCCCATTTTCAGCACTCTGATGGGATAACCCAGTGACAGTGATTGTGTCAGCACTCAGGACTGGGTTGTAAATTCATCCATAATGTGGTAAAACTTTGCTCAAGCGTGGTGGAGGTATAACATTAAAGGGGAACATTTTTTTGAGGCAAAGTCACTCATCTAAACAGATTTCATCAGATCTGAGTCGTGTGTTTTTATGCCCCTTACACTGTTTAAACTGCGGTTATGAGTCTCTCTCCATTCATTTAGGTTGGGATTTGATGTTGTTATACTGCAGTATATTGCACTGGAAATGCCATAAAGCAGTATTGACTATTTGCAATCATTTGCCTCAAGATTCCTTAACTTTGTTTGTTGTTCTTTCGTTGTTCTTTGGCGATTTTGCAGGAGAAATTGAGACTGTTACGAGTCAGTTTTGATCACCTGGCTGTATTTTGCTCTTCCTGAAATCTATTTATAGATGTATTTTGGGCTTAACTAGTTACTAGTCTACAGTTAGTTAACTGGCTACAGCATACATCCCTATAAGTGTTAATAACTGTCTCATCCATCAGATCCAAGAAGAGACTTAATCAGGGATTTTCCCACGCTGAACTCTCCCTTTAAGTCTCTGAGCTTAACCCAGTCTTTTACCACCATATTTTACACTGGAATCTGCAATAATCAACATCTTTTGTCTGTCTAGTATGCCAAACTCATCCCTTTTCTCTCTGTCACGCTAACCACACAGAATCCTTTCCCACAAGCATCTTTCAGTTTTCCCGCATGCTGAGCTGTCTCTTCTGCACGCTGCTCCGGAGAACACAGCCATCACACACTGCTTTCTTTTGGGAGCCAAGATTCCACTGCGCTGGCTCCGAATTTTTTTGGCATTCACAGGAATGTGTTTTTGACAGTTGTTCTAGTTTGAGCATTCAGCAACATATATGTGAACGCACCATCTGCGCAATGTGCCAGTTTCTCTGTGACAAGCTGCAGACCTCTTCATTTAGCCGAGGTCAGATGTTTACTAGGGTCAGCAATTTAATCACTGCTGAAAACAGAGAGAAAACATCAAAGTGTAATTTAACTGGTTGTAAAGCAACAGGGCACCCTCTCGGTTTTTATGGAACGGGACAGGGAGGGTCAAGTGAAGCCAAATAAAAGAAACACTATAAATTAGTAACCTGGGGAAGGGTTAATGACCAAACACTAAATAGGGAAGGGAATGCTTTTAAACAAAGTGCTCTGAAATGTTCTCTCAAAGCATTCGGAGCTGACAGCAGCACTCCACCAAATAAAGTCAAATATTCCTTCAGGTTTGGTTGTCAACAGGTGACTATTAATTTACAGTTAATGTCGGCTCGCAGACACGCTTCGGCCCGGATTATTTTTTTTCTGCACCGCGCTCTAAGACCTGATGTTGACTGTTGTTTCCTCAGTGGAAGGGAGGCTCCCAGATGTTCCTGAGGAGAGATCGATGCCAGCGGCTCATGCAAGAATGCAGATTCCCTGGGAAACAGAAAAAGTCTTTCTGTTAAACCTCACTGCTGTCATATTACCTTGGGCTGGGTCGCTCACTGTCTCATATCAAAATGCGCAAAAAATAGTTGTGGGGTTAAGGTCGTTTGAGGGGAAACTAGTGGAAGAAGAACACAAGTGTCTTTCTTAAACGTGGAGAATCTTGAGAAAAACATTCACGTGTTTGAACTGTATATAAACTGCATATTAAGCATTAAGATAAATAACATTTGCCACTCTTGGCAAATGTTATTTATTGGCAATGTAATGTGGCAATGCTGCAACATTACAATTAGGTTGGTCATTACAAAATCCCTCTCTTCTGGTAGATCACAGTGGCAAGCAAATTCTTGCCATTCCCATGTCTCTTTTTGATCACACTACAGTCCTGCGCGGCCATATGTTCGCATTGTTCAACAACCCTGCAGAGGTTAGATTAGAGTCAGATTTAACTGATGAAAGTAGTAAAGGTGAAGCCACAGAGCCAGACTCAGCACAACAGGCCCCACAGTGTGTGCCAGCTGGCCCGAGTCAGTCGCTTTATTTTTGGTATGTGTGTTACCTTCGCCTGCAAGAGGGATGACTGAATGTTTAAGCAAAAAAGCAGCAAAACACAGCAGAAAGAGTGAGTGCAGGAACAGATACAAGCAGGAACTTGACATTGAGAAAAACAACACCCCACAGAACAAGATCTCGGGTTGCCAAAGCTATATGGATGTATATTTCTTTTCATGGCAGGCCAGTTGCTGCTCCTTTGCGTCCCGAGTCACACATTTATATGAGCCACTGCTTCCAAGCATTCACTCATTACGTATTCGAATTTATTCTGGTTCGCAGAAGCATGCTGGTACGATCACAGGTGTCACTCTGGCGCTCGCGTTTTTGCTAAAATCAACACAATGTGTTAGTCATCAGCACATGTGTATCCTGTGACATCACTTCCCCAAGCCTTTTAATGCGTACTTAGAATACTGTATTTTGACAGGACGCTTTTAAAGAGCTGCCAGGATTTTTTTGAGCTTGTGTTTTGGTTTTCATATGCTGAGAAAATGTTTTACATATCACAGGATGCTCAATGTCCCACTGAGGAGGAGGAGGGGTTGTTTAAAAGTACAAAGATTGACAATTGTTGTACTTTCGGAGTGTATAATTTGCTTTGGTTATTTTGTGAAGAGGCGAAAAGGATATGAGCCTTTAGCCCGAGTTGTACTAGTATTACCACAATACTAGTGTCTCTCTGATTGCCACCTTTAAGCCTTACTTTCATTTTAGAAATACTGAGTGAGAATACTCTAATGATTGCTTTATGTTCATGAAACAATATGATCTCCTCTCTGAAGCGAGCAGCCCCTATCAAAGGCAAAAAACTGAAATTAATTAAAATTAAACAGTGAGTTCAATAAAGTGCTGTGCACGTAAACAGTCGTTCCCACACATGTGCCGCTTTCCTGGAAACCCTCTCATTTCTCTCGAGTCTCTCAAATCATTACCCAATCTCCATGTCTGTTTCTGACTCCTTGCTTATTTGTACAAGGTATTGTTGAGACAGGGTTATGTAAACCAGTCCCACTTTGTCATCTTGGGGACTCTCTGTAGCTTCGGAGATCTGATGTTTGGGGAGTATGAATAATAACTATAGGATCCAGTAATGCACATCTGCCTTGCATTAATGCGGCCCTCTCCTGCGGCGCTGACCTGCATTCCTCAGCTCTCGATCAGCTCCAGGGATTTTTATTTCATTCATCGCCATGTGAGCAGGTAGTCGGCTCCATCCCTGTCTTCACTGCAGGACAGTCTACCTGATTAACGTAGGCTTAGAATGAACAGTCCCACCGATCGGAGCCACTACTGTGCACGGCTGCATGTTGATTCATGCTTGCTGAGTCAGGGTTGTTTTCTGCTTTTTCTACACACGTGGTTTATGAGACAACGTTGTATTATTAATAAACAAGATTTAAGAGTATATCCACACCACCTGAACCTGGATGTTATTTTTTAATAAAGTAAAATAAAAAAAAAAAGCTTGAAATATTTTGATTAATATTTAAATTGGATTTTAAAATATTTCTTAGATTTCTATAACTTTACAATTTTCTCAGATGAATTGTACTGAGCTGCACTGAAATCATGTGAATGTAAAGGTGTTTCAGGGGTTTTGGATCTCCTAAATCAAAGGTGTAAATTTAAAAGAAGAAATGTGGATATTATGGAGCAGTTATTAAATACATTCCACGATAATATAAAATTCCAGTTCTTTGCACTTTATGTATATTTAAAAAATGGCAGTTTTAATACATATCTAAAAGAGATGGCCTAGCTGGTTGCCTCTCTTTTGGGTGTTTTGATGTATGAAAACCATTTCATGTAAAATCTTCAGAATGACATAGAGATTTGCCATGAACAGCTTTAGAGCCGTAGCTGAAGTTACCACATTCAAAATTCCCTTTGGGGACAAGACAGTTTTGTCATCATGATGGAGATAAAGCATCAGCATTGAGCAATATATCTCCCATTGAGGACCACACATAACAGCACAACCCTGTTGACGCCTGAGGCTTTGGCAAGTCCCCAAAGTATCCTCCCCAGAGCCACGATGCCTTCATCTGGCTGCAACATTTTCAATATTAACATTGCACAGCTCTCCTCAAGGGAGGCAATGTTGCATTTAATGATGGTGTTTAAATGATTCTGTCAATGCACTTGCCAAGTCGATTTAGTTCAGTGCAGGGGTGCTGAAAATGTTGGAGGCAGAAAAGGTGACAGTTCAGACTAAAGTGAAGAGTGACACCATTTTTTTTTTCTCAGAACAAAAAAGAACACTTTGCACTTTGTGGCTGTGTGATGGTGGTTATACAAAAATGTATACTGCCGGTCTCCTCCTCGCAGATCATGCAGAACAGAATTAGACCAAAGCACTTTTATTCATTATGTGTAATGAGCAGTTTTTAGATCTCAAATTTTGGAACTTTTCTGAACTTCAGTGAGAACTGCATTAGATGCATTTAGGATGGATTGCTGCAAAGGACTCGATTCACTTAGTTTTAGCTGTGATCCCAACAGATGTTTCCGTCTATATCACTGTGGTAAACATCTGGAATTGACGCCAACCGGTCTGCCTCAGTGTTCACCAAAATCTGATTTTTGATGTAGAATGTTATAGAGATATGACATAAAAATATTTAAGATTACTGTCTGTTACTTTTTTCACCCTATTGCCCTTTTGACCTTTTGTTACTCGGAATAATTTGAATCGGATTCATCGGCTTAATAAAGTTGCCTGTTTTGATTTTAATAAAAGCAGAACCTTTTCTTTTGCCGACCTTAAGCGTGGCTCCAGAATTGTCGATTGTCGCAAAACTGTAAAGCTTTCATTATAAACGCTATTTAAATGCATTTGGTACGAAGTTGACAACACGGACAATTAAGGGACATAAACTAAGCATTGCTTTTGGCTTATAAACCTCCATCAAATGGATTAATTAATATTAACAAAGACACCTGAAAAAAGAAGAATTTGCCCTTTTGTGTTTACTCTCACAGAATAAGCAGGACTTGCTGGAAAGAAAATTATAGGCCCATTTCCTGCACATCCAAAAATTTCTCCAAAAATTAGGCCTTATGTTTCATAGGCTGTAAGGCTGAGGGTTCCGCGTAACGCAGACAGGTCTCAAAGTGCCCCAAATAATAATACTAACAGCAATATTCCACGAGTTGAGTTTATTTGTCAGCGATCATGATAATTTATTGTTGACGATAATATGCTGCAGTTGTAGTTGAGTGAGAATAGTCACAGCGGTGCTGCGGGCTCGCCAGTCCAGCGATGCAGTGACAGACACAGGAAACAAAATTCTGCGTTAGTGCTTTTATTTTGTAGCGTCAGTGCGCAAAAAACGGACAAAAAGTCGATTTAAAGGCACAAAAATACCAAACTGCCTTTGGTCAAAGCGCCTCATTAAATCAAAATAAAACCCAGAGGTTTGATGCATTAATTATAACTCACCTTGCAGATGTACAAGTAGGCCTACCTAAAATCCTTTAATCTCACTAGACTTGTAAAAAAAAAAAAAAAAAATCAGCCTACTTCTAATATTTACTTTTTCTGCAATTATCCGGATTTAAGGGCTTTAATGTGAAGGTTATGTTCCTGAGTCAGAACCAGTTATGCTCAAAGAAAATGGGTCTGTTTTTCAAAATGTGTTTTCTTTTCATACCTCGGCTTCTCCAGTCAGGCTGATGGGTTCAACAAACGAACTTATGGCACACTAATGCGCACACTTTCTCCTCCTCTCTGCTCTACTTTGACAGCTTATTTTCACACCGTGTGTTAGACAATACTATAAATTGCACTTATTGCTTGCAAATGTCCGGTCCTGCCTCGCATTTCCGTTAAATTTCTGGCCAACACATATATTCCCTGCAGAAATCGCACTTTGTCTTGTGCGCACTCACCATAGCAGGAGATGAGCGTCCCGTTGTGTGTGCTGTCCGGGTGCAGCTTGCTGCCTTCCGGGGGAGTTTTGCAGGTCGGTCGCTGCATGAAGAGCTGGTATTTGTTGAAGGTGCCCTCCTCAGCGCCATCCAGTGACTGGCAGTCCGGCTGGAAAGGACTTCTGGACTTCTCTCCGTAAGCCTGCCCTTTACCCGGAATGAACGTGGGACTGTATTTTGTTTCAGTGGTTGGGAAAGTCCTGAAAGGGTTCGCTTGGTGATCTCTACTTTGCGCAGTAGATGTACTATAATATGAATCCATCGATGTCATATCGCAGTATGAGACGCACGTATCTGCGTTCATACCTAAAAAGATATATTTAAAAAAAAATCCACACGGTTCTTGTTTCCCTCCCCTTCTACAGACAGCAGATATTCTCCCAAATTTCTCTCGCACTGACAGGCTCACACTGCCGCGCTCATGCACACACACTCTCACACTGGCGCATCTGGGACTGGTTAAAAAATGAATCAGATGTTTTCCAGAGACTGCAGACTGAACAAATGCTAAAAGCCCCCTGAAGGTTTGTCGGGGTAAAGAGAAATGCCTTCCTCAAGCTGATGCCGCCTCGGTAGCCTACAGTGGATCAGACACACGCACACGCAGCACTCCGACCTTCAGGCTCGACGCACGTCTGAAGTAGGGCCCACACCGAGCTTCAACCTCCGCTATTATGCAGCCAGTAGAAATGGGAGGTCAAGCTCAGAAGGGGGACAGTTTTTTTTGTAAACACGCGGGAGATACAACACATGACATTAATGCAATTAGGGGATGAATATAACCGCTTTGATTCCCGTTGTTGCATGGCGTAGGACCTTAACCTCCTACTTAGAGAAAAAAATTATATCTTTTTATTAACCTTTAAAGGACTCTTCCCTTCCTTTCCGGGGAAGCCAGATGCTTATTAAATGACATTTGTGGAAACATTTGCGTTCCAAATATGTGGGGGAAAAGAGAGAAAACAGCACAAGTGTAAATGGATCAAGCCGGAAATTCGAGCAGCAACAGCTCCTAAATTCAGTCGTCGTTAGACTTCAGTGTTGCATAAATGTTTTGTTTGTGTTTATGTTGTGGAGGCCCGCACGAAGCGCATTATCAGGGGGGGGGGGCCCGTTACTGCGCACACGTCCATTCACAGTGGAGGAGAATCAGAGCATCATTAAGCAGCTTTGCCATTTGAAAATGAGCACTTGTAAATATCGAATTGGCCTAATTATGAATCGTTAAGCCCATCATGGTCGCTGAAATAGGTTACTTGGCTTCGTGCGCAAAGATCTGGTACAACGAAGCCGCGCCGGCAATTTGCCTTTTCTAGACTATAAAACGCTGGAATGAAGCGGTTAAGGAAACAAGATGGGCCTTTATGTCTGTCGGTAGTCAAATTGGTTAAGCTGGCTCCAATCACGTCCTTAATTTTAGGATATTGTCAAGATTACCTAAGAGTTTGAGAGACAGCGAAAATGAGAAAAATAAATCCCAAATCTTTTACAATCTGGCGCAACCGAGCGTGTCTGATTCGCATTAATATCACATGGTGACATGGTAGTATACATGGCAATAGTCCCTTAATATTTGGCCAAACATTATTATTATTATTATTATTATTATTATTATTATTATTATTATTATTATTATTATTATTATTTGTTTCTGAATTTATTTTTATTAATCTAAATTCTCGAGTCCTCTTCTCTTTCTTTCTTTCAGGTTTAATTAATTTTATAACTTTTATTTGTGGCTCTTGTTTAGCAACATGATGCAGTGTACTCAGCCAGCAGGAGGATTGAATTTCTTAAAACATATAAAATAAAAAGAGACACCAATAAGCGAATTAGCTCTATTTTTAAGCTGTTAGCGGTTTGTTTTTGTTGCTTTTTTTCCCGAAGCAGTAATCTTTTAGTATGCATTATGTTTCTTTCTCTGAGGAGGTCCCTTTGTTCACATTTTAAATGTGTTCACTTGTAAAATAAGAAAAGAGCCAAATGACCGGTTGAGGCCCGGTGCACGTGCAGTTTGTCGGCGATGTCCTGTCCACCGCCGGCATCTCTCCGGCTGTGCAGATATTCCTTAACGAGACTTTTGACTGTTTTGTTAGTAAAAGTCTCCCGCAAAGAGACATTTCAGATATAATGAGTATGACTCTGGCTGCACACCACACCGACCCCAACTTTTCTTTAGTCATTTTCTTTTCTTTTTTATTTTGAGCCTGTGTTGCGGCTGGTAATGTGAGGGGCGATTAAACCTGTTCGGCTTTTATACTTCAGATCCCTGCAGTTTATTTCAGCTGTTTTATGTCTTCGTGTCTCGACGAGAGCACGAAGCACACGAATATAAACAAGCAGCAGAAAGCTTGGCTCCCACAGAATGATCAGTGTTTGTTTACGTTATCAACATTATGATCGTATGTGAGACAGAAGACAAGACAAACCTACCGGTTTTTAATGCAGTTTGTAATTATTCATTTCGCACTGTTTTCTAATGATAAGAGAGATAAATAATTTTTAGATATTTTTTATGCGCTAAAACCGAAAGTCCCTGTTGCCTTTGAAAAACCCTTTTCTGTTATTTGGATTTTTGAGTATTAAAGTTAGCACATTTTATAATTTTACCAGGCTTTTCTTTGCAAATAAAGAGGTTTGTTTTGAGAGTGTTTAGCTGGTGTATGTGCAGGATTTTAAAAAAGAGAATTTCTACATGCATGATTATACCTCATTTATAGGAAATCAATATAAGTGGTATGACTTGGAGTTGTTTTGCTGTGCATTTGTATTTCTATATTTTTTTATTATTATTTTCAGAGTAAGATCCCACAAAAAAAACAAAAGAAAATACAAATTTTTTAAGGTAATCGTGTCACAATTAAGGAACAAGAAGTTAAAGGTTGTCACACAACTCTCCAAACCGGAATAACAGAGTTTCCCTTTACTACAGTGTATATGCAAGCCATAATACAAACCATTCTACTGCTACAGGCTAAAGCCTTAGCTGTCACAGATATACATCACCAATGCATGACATTCTCCGTGAAAGGTTTCCACTTAACGGTGACCTGCCTGTTTAATTTCCAGCAGGAACCATGTCCAGGTATTCACCACTGAGCGGCCGGGCTCTGCACTGATGCAGCAGCTCTCTGCCTCTGGGGTTTGTGTTGGCACAGGCCTCGTGTGCATCAGCAGCAGAATCCTTCGGCTATCAGTTTCTTGTATGAGAGGTGTGGCGAAGCGGTAATGGGCTGGAGAGAGGGCTTTAGGTTAGATTACTTAGTCCCAGCGTTGCCATGCTCTGTTTGAAAGTGGGAAAGCTATAGACATGAGGGACAGGAAATATACACCCCGCAGAGAGTTTCTATGCTTGCTGGGAATATATATATATGAAACTATTGGAATGATGACTGTGATTTTAATGTTGTCATGCAGATGGATCACTGGTTCATTTAGCAGATACATGTCATAGCATGTCGTAGTTTCCTGTGATGTCCAGTTACCTTATAGAAAGTAATGTTGGAAATTCATAAACCGGCTGAGACTCCTCAGACGAGCCTGTCACATCACAGCTTCAGATCAAATCTCCCTCTGCCTTTGTGACACAGTCTAATTTAGGGATGACATTGCTGTATGGAGTACCAGCATTCACCCCCTGCTACAGCACAGTACTTTTGGCTATATTGAAATTCTCTACCCCTCAATGTTTTTGCTTATTGTTATTTCATTCACATGTTGGTGCTTAAAAACTTGCAGCATTAGTGCAGGAACACTGTTTTCTGTGACTGAGAAAGATAGATTTGTTTTTTGACACGAGAACTGGTGTGTAAATTAATCACTCTCCACACAGACTAAATATAATTTCATTTCAAGTAGGAAACATCTTGTGTCCAGAAGTTACTGTAAATTTTCTGTGTTTTTCAGTAAAGGAGAAGCAGTGTGTGCATGTGTGTGTGTGTGACTTTTTCCAACTTTAAACTTGGAAATCAAACTTTGTTTTTCTGTGGAAAAACAATACCAGACACAAATTGCTGCAGTATTCACAGCAGCGTAATTTTCTTAATAATGTCCAGAAGGGGCCTGCTTTTGAAGAATTCAGCACACAAGATGGTCACTACTGTAACTGCTTGTTGAATTTCTTCTGTCCGAACGCGTTGCCATTGTTGTTTGAGTAACCTTATACAGTAGCAAAAGCAACAAGATAATGGACCTCACTGACGTTTCCACGAAAACGCCCTCCTAAACCTGCTGTCATTCTGAAAACATCACTCTGCTCACAGTTGTTGCCCCATAATTATATGTAGTGCCCAGCTTTCACCTGCTGTCCCCTGCTTAGATATATACAGGCAGAGTATTAATAGAAATGGGTCTCTGCATGTCTGACAAATAGCACACACCACGCCCTTTGTATATGTGTGTGAGAGTAAAAGGGACAGCAGATTTTTATGTGTAGCTTTAAATTGGTTTCACATGAGCTGGGCACACACTGCATCAGCAGATTCTCTGATCAAATTAAGCAGAGATGAGGGGGAAAAAAAAAGAGGCAGCGGTTGTACTGATGTGTAATTCAATAAACAGGACCAAGTAGGGGCAGACAGAGTGAACGCTGTGCTGCCTTCATCACTCAGCTCTATATCTGGTTCAGCCATGGATGGAGACACAGAGTAGCAAACGTCCGTTCACCATTGCTGTCGTAGTCAACAGAAAATATAGATACACGTCTAAGGAAATAATATATATCCTCTTTGCAATCTGTATCCTAACAGATCTGTCACATTACAGTTAATTCATTAGTCAGGATTTATTTTTACTGCCTCAGTTTTGAAATCTTCAATTAGCTGAATGTAAGCAAAGGTTTGAGGATTTTATTATGAGTTTTTATTCATGCATTATAGCTCAAATTATTAAACAAAATTTATTAATCAATGATTTTTTTAAAAATGGTGTTAAGGTTTACTGTTAGGTTTAATTAATGTGATCTGAAAAGTTTTTCACTTCGATTGTTGTACAAATGATGCACATTTTTAATAATGTTGAATAACTGCTGACAACAAATTAATCACATTATTATCTTGTCAAGAAAAAGACCCAAACATTCACCAGCTCCAATGTCATGATTCTGTTCTCAAGTTAACACATATCTTAGGTTAATTATAATTTTATTTAAAAGAATTGAAAAAAAGATAAAATGTCAGATATTCAGTCTTTCAAGTGGCATAAATGATACTGCTGTCTGTTTTAAAAAATATATATTTTAAACATAATATTTATGTTAGTATTTTGGGGATATGGACTTCCTTTTAGACAAAACAATTTTAAGGTGTCATGTTGTGGTCTGAGAAATTATAATGAGCATTTATTTCTCCATTTTCTAAAAAATAAAATAATCTGTGGATGAATTTAGGAAATAATAAATCCATCAATCATTTGCTGGACTACCACTGCTGTTTTTTCCATAACCACATTTACATCTGCATCCATTAACAGTATTATATGAATGTACAAATTAGTCCTTGTGCATTTAGATGCAAAAAAGCTAAAAGGATAAAATGTCTAAACTTACGAAACAAGTGTTTAGACCCTTACTGCAAATATCAACCATTCAACCTGAAACAGAATATGTGTACTGTAATAATGAGCCGAGTGTTGTCATTGTGTTCAAAGGTAATTGGACACATATACATTCGGTCCAGCAGTGTCAAAATATTTAATATTTTATTCAGCGAAAGCCTGCAGCCAAGTTCAGCTCTCACTTATGAAGGCTTTTTTTTTGCCGTTAGTCTGGTTTTCATCGGGTGACTGAGTTGGCCCATGAAGGATATTCCATCTCTTCACCATGAAAAGCTGTTTTGTTGTTTTTCGTCAAACAATTTGCTAAATGATGAAATGTCTGGTGAATTTGACTGAATTGGAGCACAAAGAATACATTTGTTTCTCCCGCTGCTTTATCAGACTATATCTTGTCTTTCTTTTTTCCTTTCTTTGAGGTCTACCAGTGCTGTGCACCATTCAATAAACCTTCTGAGGTTCATTAAGCCTCATGTGCATCTGCATCTTGAGAGCCTTACTGATCACAAAGAGGTTTTTCTTCATCGTGGAAATTATTGTTCTGTTTATCCGACAGACTTGTGCTTCTTTGTCCACCAGGTTTGCAACTTTTTGACCACCTCTGATTTTATTTATTTTAAGCCACATTATTATTTTCTTCACTCACATGGCCACATCTGTGCTTCTTATTAATTCTCTTCAACTTAAACTCCAAGTTTCAGGTAGTTGTTTTGTGCATTAATAAACTAGCATTATTAACATTATGTCAATTTTTTTTCTAGCCCCAGTTTCACTGCACTTTGTATTAAAAGGACTGTATACACACACAGAAAACCTAAATTGCTCTCACTGAGGTTTAGCACTTTAAAGAAGACCGATTAAACCTTTCCTTGAGACATGCTGTCAGAGAGGATGCTCACGTTAGACTAAAAGTTCAGTATATGTGTACATAATCTTTCACACTTAAGACCACTCTCAATCCTGATT